TAAACTATTAAAAGTACGATAATTGTTTTGCAAGAAAAAGTATTTACATGGAAATGGCATATGTACTTTTTCGTAATTTCTGTTAAAAAGAGTTTATTGTGCATTTCCATAGCTCATTAATTTAAACAAATAAAGGAATATTAAAAAATTAACCAAGGGAAAACATTCTGTAAATATTTAAGGGCGTCGGATACCTATTCTTTTTACCTAAATTATGAGTAAGTATAATTGAAATTATGCGTTATTTCTATTAAAACGCTTTTCGGGATCTTGGATCGTAATCTTGCTACTGGTACCTACTAAAAAGAGTACAAACCAGTAAATAAAAATAAGGAAAATTAGCATTAACAAAAATGGAGAAAATAAAGGTGTTAAATTTTTAACACCGCACCCGAAGGCGAAAAGACAAATAACGACAAAGTCATTCAATAAGGTTAGGATAAAAATAAAACCGTGCCCCCCCCCCCCCCCCCCCCCCCCCCCCCCCCCCCCCCCCCCCTGAGGGCAGAGTTTGTAAAAGTCACTAAAGGGAATAGAACCGGAGATCTAAAGATCCAAGAGCTTTTCCATACTTATTACCGCTGAGCTGCGGTTTCTCCGCTAGCTTTCGCACACTTTTCGGTACATCACGCTCATATGAAAATAGTAAAGGCGATGAAGCAAAAGTCGCCAAGCACAAGATTCTATAACCCTACGTTTTCTGTTTCAACCAATCAGAGCAAACAGTAGAAGTAACGGTCTGTAGGCTTTGTGAATATGCGTGTTCCAGGCGCCCAGAGGTAAAAATTCCCATCGACGGTCACCGGAAGGCGAGCGAAGCGTGTTCCATCGAAACATATTCTAGACCCAGGGCTTCATCGACGGTTAGCGGAAAACCAGCGGAAACCGTGCCAATAGAGGTCAACCAAGGTCCCTCATGAAGAAATCTCACGCTAAAACGCCCAACGAAAATCACTTCTACCCCGCAGCTCAGAAAAGTGAAGTTCCTTTTCAAGAGCCAGACACAGACAAGAGGACCAGTTCTCACCCTGTGAAGCGGAGACCAGACTTTCAAAACCCACAACTCAGAAGGAAAGAAGGTCTTCATCTGCGAAATTACCAATATTTTTAATGCTTCCTTAACAAACTGTTACTTCCCTACAGCATGGAAAATTGTTTAGTCATAATGATGCCTAAACTAGGCAAAAACCATATTCGTCCTATTAGTGTGCTTCCTGTACTTAGTAAGCTGTACGAAAGGATTATTATATCAAGAATGCAACATCATCTTTCTTCTCTCCTTCCAGAGCAATTCGGATTCCGAAAACATCTATCTACCACTAAACAACTGTTTCGTGTCACAGAATTCGCGCTGGATCTGCACTGTATAATAGATTAAATGTAGCTATCCTCATATTAGACTTGGCGAAAGCCTTTTCCCGGGTCTGGCATGAGGAGCTCATTGCTAAATTGATGAATTACTGTCTTGAGCATGAACTTCTAATCCTGTACTCGTAACCTTCAAAGTCTACGTAAAGGATACATACTCCACTGAAAGAACGATTAGTAGAGGTATTTCACAGGGTAGTGTCCTAGGACGCATAATGTACTTGTTTTATGTTGCAGACTTACCGAAAATTGAAAATTCAAGCTCTATTCTAGCCTTTTATGCAGACGACTCAGCTCTAGCAGTTAAGTCTGCAAACATTAATCATGCAATCAAGACCCTCAAAAATTCATTCCTCGAATTGAAGATTGGTGTTCAAAATGGAAAATTAAAATTAATACCGGAAACTCGGAGCTTCTCCAAATCAAAAGCAGGAAAAAAGAACATTCCTATCACAAAAAATCTGCTCCCATTTGACGAAATTGGTAGCAGTTGTGCAGCATGCCAAGTATCTAGGAATAATTCTTAACAACAGACTTACCTGGACCCATCATATTACTCACTACAGAAACTAATCCATTGGAGTCATAAATTGTTTATACCCAGTTCTTGAGAAATATTCCAACCTTGATTTGGCCAAAAAACTACTAATATAACCTCATTGCAATCCGCTATATACTTACATACACATTTGCAGCTTAGACAGCAGCTAAAACTTCTGATACACAGAAACTCCAGATTGTGCAGAATAAATTCCTGCGCCTCGCAACGAATGCATATTATTATGTTAAAAATACTGTATTATATGGTGATTTCAAGATTGATCCAATAGCTAAATATCTTCAAAAAGCAGATGAGAAATTTTTTCAGAGTGCCTATAATTACGATTTCATGAACAATTTTCGGATATTTAACTACGAAATCCTCAAGGTTTGGTTTGGTTGGTTTGGTTTATTTAATTATGGCAATGCACACTAGGGCTATCTGCCTAAGGGGAGGGATGCCTTCGTGGAGGACTTTCTAAGGGAAACTGGCTCGTATACACGTTACACATGGGGAAAACCACGAAAACGCCCATGCAGCCAGCCCGTTCGCGGGATTCGAATCTCAGGTCGAACTACCAGTGTTCAGCGACTTTACCTTTCGGTGGGCCCCGAAATCCTCAAGGAAGACAGGTATTTGAGGCCCTACGCTGCTTTTCTCTTGCTGAAAACCAGAATCATCCCACCTAGCAATATTATTTAGCAAATGTTTCACTTTTCAAGTACCAGGACTTTAAGAATTCAAGCAGCATTTGTCAGATCTACCACCTGGGAGGGTAACCTCTCACGTGATCAAGGACGTTGCACATTTATGGAAATCCTGCACCCGGTGTGCCCACAAACATATGTAAAAAACACTGAAATACTCTTCTTCAGCAGATCCTGGAGAGACTGCTGTATATTAGCAAAAATACCATTACATGATGAGGTATTTTTAGAGACTCCAGGTGAAAGAGAGAATTAAGTAACTGGACAGTTCAAATTAAGTAACTGGAAACTAAGCTTTTGGTTAGCCATGAAGATTAGTGACTGCATCCTTGCAATTGAGTATGAAAAAAATAATGTTAGAAATAATGCAATCTATAACGCAGTTCCATTTGCTACGATTTTCAGTGTAAAAGACTATTATATCTGAACTGATGATATCATTTTGCAAAACAAATTTCAAAGAAGTTGGGAATAGCCAGTATCAAGAACTTTATAAATATGCTTCTTGCTTTCCGGGTTGCAATATCAAGGACTGCAAGTGGAGTATGATTAATTCAAAGTTATCCAATTAAAAAAATCTGATGTGTACACCACATGACTTCCTTGTATGGAATATTAAATTATAAGCAGTTTTCCCACATTTCATTTAAACGTATTGAATTAACAGTTAACGAATTTTGAATTAAATCTACTTCCTCAATAGCGCTTAGACCACACTAGAATAAAGGCACTTTTTTAAAGTTCACTATATTTATTTACCATAGCGACATTTTGGCGCTACGTTCACTTAACAGCATTAATATTCATTTTAAAACTCAAAGTGCACATAAGTTATATCATCTGTTGAATTACCATAAGTTCTATTCAAATACAGTGATAAATCTAAAACGATATATAAAAGAAACTAAACAAATAAAAAAAAACTTTTTCGCAGACGATTCAGCGCTGCTTAGCTAATGCGCTACTAATTAATTCAGTTCTCACTTCGCTGCAAGGCAAAAATACATTAAATTCAAAATATTTTCATTAAAATGTTACTGCTATAGGAAAAAATAAAACACCAAATAGAGTTAAAACAATTAAAAACAATTTTAAAAAAATTTCACAATTTTTACAATTAAAGTTACAGTTTCTATATAAAAATAAGGTAATAACTTAAATGTTAATTCCATAATGAATTAAGCATAATTTAATTCGCAATAACAAAAAAAGACGTTACTTTGGTTTGGGGAAGCTTAGTTTCTCTAGCTTGGCAACAAATCCACTATTCTGTTAAGTTTTAAATGTAAACACATGGACGGCATACTAATCAGAAATTAGGCTTAGCCGCACTTAAAAACTTTTAAATTGTTGATAATTTCTCAATTATTGCATGTAGTTTAACTTAAGGCATAAAAACCTTAACCGGAAGATAAGAGCAACATAATTCAATCATTTTAAAGCAAAAAAATGCGCAATTTACAAATATATAATAATAAAGTAACTGAGATCACTGAGCCGAGAAACAGAATGGATATAAATATGCATATATTTATATATTTTTTGTACGGTCTATTGCAACCAAAATACGAGGTGCACATCTACATGTTGTAGCAGTCTTATATACAAAATTTCAACGTTCTGAGGTTACTCGGTTTTGAGTTATGTGAGATACGTACATACATACGTACACACAGACGCTACGAAAAATTCTCTTCAGATTTCATTTTAAATCAGTTTCATAATTTTTTTGGAGGAGAAGGGTCTTTTATTCTGTCCTTACGTACAGATGTCACGCAAAAACATCGTTAAATTGCATTCGATAGCGGTCAAAATGGATATTTCCGTTGAAATATGCTGCCTGAAACTTTTCGCGATTACAATACTTCCTTTTTACTTCGTACAAGGCAGCAAAAATAAAAGCAAATGTGGAAACCTTTTTAATAAAGGGTTACTCATAGCTCCGGAATATATTAAGAGCATAATATTAGTAGACAAAACAACATATGCATAACATTAATCCCCCCTCAAAAAAATTTTAAAAAGCTTAATTTAGCTTTCATGCACGTACGATATTTCAAGAAGGAAAAGAATATAAATACTCTCGCAGTTATTGAGAGTTTCTTTGCTTGAGAATTAGGCCATGTGTTTCACACAAATTATGAAGGATACATTTCAAATATAAAAGTCAGCTTCATAACTTCAGAAAAATATGTTCTGGAGAGACTACTTATTTTATTAACAAGGATATGAAATGTCGGATATAGTAGTGACTATAATTTGTTTCCACGTCTTAACTAAAATCCAGGATAAGAAATTCATTTTGAATTAATGAAATTTAACTCTTTCTTAATATAAATTTGAAATTATATGTAAAATACGATAAAATAAAAAATATCAAATACCTGCGCAAGATGTCTCGCATTGTTCCATCGTATCAAATGTGTTGTTGTTGCCTTCACAACCTTTATGGAGTATTTCGTAGCATATTCTTGAGTCAGGATTGTAATGAAACTTTAGTTTCTTCTCTTCACAGCAATCTCCATGGCCTGGATCCAGTGAGCAAATGTGCTGTGCATCTGTTGGCATTAATATTAAACTTCAGACACATTACCAATATAATTTCTACTTTTATTTTAAGTGCAGAATGTTATTCTTTTACAATTCTAACGTGATCGGCATAAGCTGAAAATGTATTAATTTAAAACTCAATTTTTATTTCGTAGTTTTTGTGTCAGTACTGCGATAAATTACGATAAAAAAAAACTTACATTTATAGCTTTGTGTAAATGTATTGTTGTAACTCCTCAAGAAAAGGAACACATATTCGTAAACTAAATATTTTATTTCGTGCTAAGACACTTTTACTAACTTAGAAGCCTTACACAAGTTACTCGCAAAACATTTTCTCTAGATCACGGGTTCTCAAACGGTGGTACGCGTACCACTGGTTGTACGCAAGAGAAAAATAGGTGGTACACAAAAAAACAAAGTATTTTTAACTATTAAATTCAAAAATTAAAACCCAAACTTCCTGATTGAGTTTTTTCTCCAACACTCGTAAATTTATGATGCAAGCTGAACTTTGTTCAAGCGTGGTGGTGGTAGCAATACTTTGTAGTGGTGGTACTAAAGGTTTTCATTTTTTGTTTAGATGGTACGCGTTAGTCAAAAGGTTGAGAACCGCTGTTCTAGATTATTGAAAGTCTCGTTTTCATGGATACGTACAAAATTAAAACTGAATTGTAAAACCGATAGCAATGAATATCGATATGCAACATGCCAGTATAAAGGTCTATCCACGAGAGAAAGAGAATGACTCTCTTCTACAATTCTTCCAAAAAAAAGACTCATCTGTGATCGAAGTAATAGTTAAAGCTCCGCACTGGTATTTCCACTTGGCTTTAAATACCGACAAATGGGATGGCTACATGTGAAATTCTTATGTGTAATATGAATTATATGTACCAGTTTCTCTTAGATAGGTTGTAGAGACATTAGGTTATTTCGGAGCAGGAGAGATGAAAAATGAGCAATGGGAGTCGGACTACGGCCTCTCGAATACGCGCCGAGCGTGCTGACCACTACACTACCAAGGAATGCTAACAAGGCGGGAGAAATACCTTATATCCTCCCTCTTTTAAAGGGCGACTGTGAGTTAGGTGATCCAATCTTCAAATATTGGTGGTGGAGAGTCATTATCCACCACCCATTTTTAGTTCGGGCGCCATTGTAGATATATGTAGTTTTTTTATAATCAGGAAATTGAAGAAATGCGTAATACTCTCGCCGGAACTCGAACCACGGACCTCTCGAATATGTGCCGAGCGTGCTGTCCACTACACCCCGAAGGCGTGCTAAGAAGGCGGGAGAAATAAGGTCTTTACGAAGGTATCTGCAATATTAGGTCACAGTGCTCACTATCAAATGTGCTAGTCGTATTTCCGAAAGGTACCTTATTTTGCTCATATTTTATACGTATAGTAATTGGTAATTTCTACTTCGTTAAAAACCAATTAAGAACAAGCTCTTGCTAGAATTATCATATGTGTTATAAAATAATACTCATTGAAAAATTGTTATTAAAATATACTGATAAAATAATTTTTCAGGTGATTCACTTCTCTGCCCTAATTAACAAAGCATTTTTATGTTATTTAAGGAAAATAAAGGATTTTACACATTTTTGTATGGTAAAAATATGCTCTCATGTGTCTGATAGAAATATGAAATTATAACGTTGCGCGCCTCTAACTAGCACGCAACCAAGAGGTGACTGTGAAAGCTTGTATAAACCACAGAGTCTTATAAAGGGTTTAAGTCTCTTTTTATTCAACGTAATAAATTACAATGGCGTCCTCTTGACGCTTACAGACTGTGCCCACTAGGCAGTCAAATAAAAATAAGAACCTGAAAAGAAAGTAAAGACAATATTCTAACTACGAGGCTCTCTAAAATAACTAACTCACCGCGTTTTACAAATGCCGCAGCTAATTCAGCAGACTTGAAGCTCACTGGAACAATTGCAACTACTTCCCGCCAAGCACATAGGCCGCACGCGGGGTTCTTCAATTCTCGATTTCTACCTCCGCGCTCGCTAAGTAAGAATAACTCTCTCCGAACTCGTTTCCTTCTGTTTAAACCATACTACTTCCGCTGATAATTTGAATGCTTGCGCGTTCTACTCAAATTTACATATTCTGGCATTGGCAGTTCCAGGGGAAAGTAAGGCTTGACAGGAAAGATAGTTTAAACTTAAAATAAATGTTAGTTAAAATAAATATAAACCCTACATTTGCCGCTGCCAGAATTTGGAAAACTTGGAAGCAGGTCCTACAAACGACCTGTTGTAAGTTTATCTAATTCTGAACTAACTGGCGAAAGCCTCGTTTACACAAAAAAAATCTTATGTAACAATTATATATTAAAATTCTGTTATTCGTTACAGAGCTTTCTTCTTACAGCCACTTTTCCTGGACTTCATCAATCAACCTTGGTCTTTCCTTCCAGCATCTGGAAGGAATAAGTATCAGTATCTTTCTACATACATTATAATTTACACTTTCTTGACACAATAAATTTTTGTTTTTAACGATTCGTTTTTCTTAGTTATTGCTTACTTCACATTCATTCAATTTTTCAAGCATTAATTTAACTTTACCCTGGCTCTCCACCATGTGTGGTGTCAAACGGGAATATTCGTGTTTTAGTCTTACAACACTTCCCCTAACCACCATGATTTGTTAGAATTCAACAACCAAATAGACACACCTTACTCGACATTCTACAACTCAATGAGCTACTTTAATATTCTTAAAAATTCAAATGTAGGTGGAGAACCCTACAAAACACATTCATTCTAGCTTCCCCCTCATTCATCTTTAAACATGCAGGCTTTCGCTCTAAAGCATGACTTTACAGTTTAATACTTAAATTTTGACTTCATTGCTTTTAAGCATTCACTTTTAGCATCTACAATTTTATGCTTCTAGACTAAATTCTACTTTTACATAACATGCAAGTATTTACATACATTTACCAAAGTTTAATACATATGCTTTTTTACAATTTACCATAAAATGAATAAGAGAAAATAAATTTTTACTTTACTCATTCTTCGCCAAGCTGGCGGCACTGAAACTAAAATTCTTATTAATACAAGAATACGAAGTTATTTTTATCTTCGGCCAAATTTTGGCTTTAACATAACAGAATTAGTCTTTCGACCAACAGAAAATGCTTGTTTTTAGCTTTTACACTTAAAGAAAATAATACTTTTGCCTTAGCTAAATAAAGTAAAACAAAACTAAGTCTCAACCGAGACATATTGACTTTCGTCAAAACATAGAACTTCGTACTTATGCATAACATTTCGGAACAAAAGAGAAAAATATTTATAGAAGGTTTTAACTTATCTTTGAGTTTTCGATGCTTGAAATTCCGTCATCCGTTTTTGACAAAATTGATCCCAAGTTAGAGGTGTCATGGATGTCAATCTTCTCCTTATTGATCTCCGAGTGTCGTCCCCGTTGCTCTTTCTTTTGCGTCCTCTACATGCTGGCCTCTTGACGGAGTAATCGTCTGGTTGTTGGCCTTTGCGTTTCTGTCTGGGACGGCTGGTCTTGACGTCCTCCGGTCTGGAGTTCTTGAATTTCTTCTGTTCCTCGTACTTCTGTGCCTCCTGTTGGCGTTTCAGTTTCCGGAACGGCGGCCTTGCTGGCACCTGACTCTGTGGCCGTGTGCGCGTTCTCCTTGATGTGTAATTTCTCCTGCCATCTTTGTAGGTGGTGTTTTTCGTCTTTACCACGGTTTCTTTACCCGGTTCATCTGTATTTTTGTTTTTCTTAAACGCCGGAGTTTGAAAATCCTTTTTTCTTTTTGATACCGACGTCCGGGTTGTAGAAGTGCTAGGTCTCTCTTCAGTTCTCCGTTTCTTGGGTGGTGGAATAGTTGTTGCAGTCTCTGGCCCTTCTATTTCGTTTAGACTTGAGTCCTGCAAGAAACTTTTAAGGATTTCAAAATCATTTGGATTATAGTATTTTTTCACCTGGTCGGGACTTGCTTTACAGATTTCCCCTCTCTCGTTTTTAAGATATAAGACTACTCCTTTGATTTCCTGAATTACATAGGGGCCTTCAAACTTTGGAGCTAGCTTTGCCATAAAATTGTCTGGGGCACTTGATAAAGAAAATTTCCCTTTCAATACTTTATCCCCAACTTTAAAATCTGCTTCACGGCGTTTTCTATCATAATAAATTTTCTGCCTATTTCTTGCCGTATCCGAGGTTTTAAGCGCCTGATCAATTAGCTTTTGCACGTCCTTTTGTCTGTCTAAATTCCTGCTCTCTTTGTTGCACAAAGAATAATTTATCTAAAGGCGTAATTAACTTTCTGCCTAAAAATAATTCTGCTGGAGTTTTTCCCGTAGTATCATGATGTGCCGTTCTTAAAGCATAAGCTAATTCATTTATGTAGCCATCCCAGCGCTTGTGATGTGTGCTAACGTAACTGCGAATTATTTTTACAATGTTTTTATTAACTCTTTCTGCTATGTTAGCCTGTGGTCTATACGGAACCATTTTGATATGGCGTATATCAAGTCCATTGCATATGTTTTCAAATATTTGACTAATGAATTGTTTTCCGTTATCGCTAATGACTTTTATCGGTGCACCGTATTTTAAAATGTATCTGTGTAAGAATGCATCTGCGACTGTTTTGGCTGACGCGCGTTTAAGTGGAACAATTTCTATCCATTTTGAAAAATGATCTACTATTACTAAAAGAAAACGATTTTTATTTAACTCGCTCTGGGGGAAGGGACCAAGGAGATCTATGCCTAAAATTTCATTCGGAAATGTAGCGCGAATGCTATTTAAGTACCCGGCCGGGCTGTAATTAATATCATTTATTAACTGACATTGATTGCAGGACCTGACATACGCCGTTACTATTTTGTATAATTGCGGGAAATATACCGCCTCGCGTACCCTTTTTATAGTCTTTCTGACCCCGAGGTGGCCCGCTGTTTTTTTTCGTGCAACTCCTTCAAAATGCTTAATCGAAGCGAGGCTGGGAT